GAGTATATGCCAAACGAACAACGCTTCATTTTTTTGTTAGAAACGGAGAACGCTTCCCTTTGTTGTTAGAAACGAACAACGCTTTTAGAATCGTTACTCAAACATATTTCAATTCCGAGCATACGATCGATTTCTGTGTAGTCAAAGTCTTCATGGTATTGTTAGAAACCAAGAAAAAGTTTCTCAAGCTTACGAAACGTCCGTGAGTAAGAAACGATTACATACCAAACAAACAACGCTGCATTTTGTTGTTGGAAACGAACAACACTTTAAGAATCTTCATGGTGTTGTCGGAAACAAAGAGCGCTTTAGTGATAAAAATTTCTCAACGTTATTGCCTATTAACAGTCTAAAATTCAGATCTTTTTAGTATTTGTTTCTTCGGGCGACTTGACTTTTTTTTTTTCGGGCGACATAACTAAAATTTCGGGCAACATGACTCAGGTTTCGAGCGACATGACTTCGGGCGAGATGACTCTCGGGCGACTTGACTGTAAACCGCCAGAATCACAAAGTGGGAAAGCTAGCTAACAGGAACCACCGTACTCATCAAGTTTAGCTGAGTAATTTTGTAAAGTCAATGAATATAGTGGCCATTACCATTAAGATGGTATCTTAACACTAACAAAATACATAATTTTTAACTTAAATGAAATATGCATCAATTGGTCAACAGTTCCCTTCCATATTGCCCGGCTTGGGCCAAGCAAGTTTAGCATAATTTTTAAAACAGAACTCTGTGAAGGAAGCAGCTAAGTTCGCCTTCTTCCACGGATTAAGGAACAAATTGCAAGAGTCTTATGTACACTTAGCCTCAATAGGGCTTCTTGCAATTATTTTAAGTAATAAAAGAATATTTATTTCCCAATTTATCTCACTTGTGTGACCTCTATATGGCATTGTTGAGTACTTCGACCTCAGTCCTTGGAGGTGAAAAGCTTTGGTTTTTACCAAAGGAAATTTGTTTTTGTTGGGAAGCTAGACATGCAGGATCAAGGTTCTCTATCCCGAAAACTTACCTAGTGATAACGATATCTAAAGGTCTACTGTGCACATAATTGTTCATAGCAACGTTGGAATTACATTAACACCAAAGAGCCACTCAGTTGCTTATTCTTATTATCACTTTCAGCCATTGGGAAGTGTACAAATGACAATTTATAGTAATGGTACGCAAGCCAGACACCTTTTGTACGAGTTAGAGATCTAGATCTAAATTAATTGCAAGGATTGTACTCCTGATATGCTGCCATAAACTGCTATATAACCTGATAATGTTACTCTCCGCTGAACCTTTCGTTCCAAAGGAATGATTTCTAATCACGGTGATTTTCTTCTTCCATAAACTGCTATATAACCTGATAATGTTACTCTCTGTTGAACCTTTCGTTCCAAAGGAATGATTTCTAATCAAGGTTATTTTCTTCTTTTATTTTGTTTTGTTCCTTGCTTTTTTTTTCTTTTTTTTTTCGAAATTTAAGTTCGTAACCCTTAATTCAAATTCCTATGGTAATACATTTGCAGCAAAAATTCCAAGATGTTTTAAATTTGGGTGTAAAATCGTAGTATAGTTCAAAATCTAAGATTTCTAGCACGTTAGTGACGAAATTTCCTTTTTGCATCGGTGAGGTTTTCTTCATCTGAAATGTCCTTTAACCGGTTTGTTTTGGACTCCGCTATAGCCTACGGTAGGCTTGGATTTATACCGTCACAGTTAAATGCCATAACACTGTCATTACCAACCAACTCCATACCATAAGCTCAACAACACCAACTCCCTTCGTTACCGCTGCCGGTAGCAAATAAAACCTAGTCAGTACAACCTTAAAAAGCTCCACACCAACTACTATAAGATCAGCGATCTTTGCTGCCACATGCACCTGCGTCATCTCCACCAAAAATAGGTACCCAGAGGGTACATATGAGGGATACACCCTGCTGCCTATTCTTTTGGATTAATTACTGCATCGAAGCTGAAAGAAAACAGGTTCGTTTCGCAAGAATCATGGGTTCATTTAAGAGAACTTCGCAATGGAAGCCCTTTCAATAGATACTTGGCCGGCCCGTATTGCAGAGTTATTTTTGGGCAAGTGAAAGCTGCTTGTTTATGTTCGTAATAACGTGCCTGCCAAATTATTTTTTCTACTCGTCTTTTTAGATCTCAAGATGGCGGTTACGAGAGCGAACATTTACAGCTGAAGGTGTTTGCAATGCAGGCCAAAAGACACTCATAAGCGCGCAGCTCTACGCAGGCACAAAAGCCTATTTATTTTCCATATTAACTTTGTATAAACACATTCTCGTTGGTGAAAAAGGTCTATTCCACCTGTCGAGTCATTTTAAATGAAGATTCAGGGCCAGAGCTAGTCTAATTCCCTTCCCTTTCTCTAATTTCTGGAAAGTGACTTTTTTGAGAGAGCATAGGTCCTTTTTGCATCATGAAAAAATTGTAATATGATTTGGTGAACACAGAGCACATACATGGCATGAATACATATAAGCTGTGTCTGTAGCTTCAGCACCTCTGTCCACTACGTACTTGAAGATTGGTGACTAGTTACGTCACCACAGAATTACTCCATAGAAAATTAACGGGGACTTTGTCTGTGTTTTTTCACTATTTAAGATGACCAACGTATCACGTGTTCGCATGACTAACTAGTCGAGTATTTAGAATCATAAAACAAGTGTATTTGCATCCTTTCAGAGAGCTCGTCCATTGGGGGTATATTTTCAACCATTCAAGAAGTCGAGCAATTATACAATGATATAAATATTGATGAAACATGGTAATTTTTTTAAAGGAAGAACATGAAAACCAAAAGGATTTATTCATAATTTTTCAAAGAACTTTATTCCCTCACGAGAAATTGAGAGTACGTTGGATATTATTGTTTGCTCATTCTGAGATTCAAAGAGCCCACTCGCTTGGTTACCGTTTGTATGGTTCTTCTGTTACTGGAAGATGACGAAAGTTAAAAATGAGAACGAACAACTGATTCTCCGCTCAGATTCTCTACAAATAGAACCTATCCACTTATTTTAGCTCTAAAGGAAATCCCACCCCTTTTCTTGTTCAACCTCGCTCTGTTAGCCAGCTAAGGTTTCGTGGCAGACATTACAACCAACGAATACTTTCAATATTTCATGCTTCCCAATCGGTGGTAAAGGTAACCTACATGTTTGTTTAATAATTCTTTTCAAATCTAATTGTACATAGTTTTTTATGCCCTTGGCATAGTTAAGAAAGGCTCCCTTAATTATTTAACTGCACTTTGTTGAGGAACACACGTTGTAGTGATAGTGCGTGCATAACTGAGTGAAGAAGCCAATGTACTTATATACCTTCTCAACTTTATTATCATTCTTTGTATAATCCTTTTGATAAATGAAGTTATCAAATGTAATTTCAAAATGTGGGAGGCGAGCACAGCTCAAAATATTAATTCAAACAGGATATTGCAGACATAAATAATCGCAAGGTTCCTAGCGATTTCAAATTGAAAATAAACTCTAGGTTAATAGTTATTTTGTGTAAAGTTTAGATTTGACTCAGTCCGGTTGAATTTTTATGTTTGTGCACCAAAATCAGGGGCTAAACCAAAACTGTCAAAGAACAGAAAAAGATGAAAATACGATGATGACTTAAGACTATAGCTCGGTAGCTCTCCGATGGAGAAAGCCTGAGATCCATGTCGGGCGCGTCTAATTTAGTCTGTGTGTTGAATAATAGATGTTTTCGTTATACACATATAAGATCTAATCTGACCTTAATGCTGAACTTTTAAAGCGAAAATGCATTTATTGCATGATGGAGAAAAATAATAGAGGCGCTATGTAATGACTCCGCTAAGGTAACCGAGGTTGCGTAATGAGGTTATCTTCGTTATATACATAAGATCTAAACTGACTTTCATGCTTAACTTTTAAAGCGAAAAATGTATTTATTGCATGATTGAGAAAAATAATAGAGGCGCTATGTGATGATATGGCGTTGACTATGGCAAATTCAAAATTAACTTCCTCTTGAAGAAAACGCGAGACATAAATGAAATAGATAAACACTAAAATTGTTAAATTTGAAAAAAAAGGCCAGAAAAGTAACTAGAATGGTTAAGGATGGAGAAGAGAAACACAAAAGGCACAAATCTTAACAAAGTTCCTTTTTAAAACGAACAAAAGGCGAAGTGGACGAGTTCAAACATTATGATCTGTTACGTAAGAGATCAAGCTTTCTCTTAAATGTCCATTACCTTCTAAAGTTTAAGCTATCGGCGCGCAAGAAAAGCCTTTTTTAGTAGCATTTGAAGAACAGTTAAAATATAGAAGCATCTTGCAAACAATCTCAATTTTCCTGTAACCTTTTGGATTCAGTTTCAATGAAGTATCAAATTTTCACGTTCCAGAAATGTCAGCGGGGAGGAACTAATTTTAATTTTAAAAAAAGGTCTCGAGCGAAGACCCAAAAAAAATTCATATCAGGCATTGAAACTTCACAAATACTTTAATCCAGTTCGAGAAAGCTAATCCTGCGACAAAACTATGTCATAATTAAGTACAAAAACCCACGAGGTTCCAATCATTCACGTAAAGGAAAAGACGAAAAGTGGAAATGTAAAACAAGTCACGATCCTCGGCTCGAATAGATTTTGTTTGATCTTATTTCTTACGAAGAACAAAACATAACATGCGCTCGTACTGAAATTTCTCGGTTTTTTTTTCTTTTTTTTGTTAATTGAATTTCCCCTTTATACTATACTTGGATTGTCTATTTCTTGCCATTTAAAACTTCTTTAACAACGCGAAGCGCTCAGAGCTTCATCAGCAACATAATGAAGATCACTAAACCAAACCTCCCTAGGCGAAACAATAGTGTGCTCTATTTTGCTGAGACTTTAAAAACATCGTCATCTCTTGAAGATTTTCAGAGGAGTTCATTTTTTATTAACTCCAGTAGTTTCTGTTCTTCTTGTTCGTTTATTCAAGTTGTTTCTAGGACAATGATGACACTTCTCACAAGCGTCATAACAACTTCCTTTGTGATTATCTACTGGCAAGTACGTGACACGTTATCTTCAGTCACGGAATGCCAAGGGGCAACCTACTCCATTCAAAATCGCATCTTGGAAGGTCACGCATTCACCACTAAGCCATCTGCAACCATCGAAGTTTGCGTGATTTTATGTGGGGAGCATCCTGACTGCGAAAGTATAAACTACTTTCGAAAGACAAAGACTTGTGAGTTGAATAACATGAGCCTGATGTCATCCCCAGAACACATGGTGGCTTTTGAATCAGCTATGTACATGACCAACGCTTTTCGAGTCCCGTGTTACTACGACAATGAATGTGAACGGCAAGAAGAGGTCTGCCTGCTTGTGGTGGGCGGGAGCAAATGTGAAGGTAATGTTAATATATTTTTTAAAACAATTCCTTTTCATTTAGGAATATCGTACACATATGATATAAGTAGGGCAAATAGGTATCTTATTTGGAAGATAATTTCTATACATTTTGATAGCAATGTTGATGCTGTTGTTTTTGTTATTGTCATAGTTTTTGGTGCTATTTTTTGTAATTGAATCATTCCACAAAGAGGAACTCGAAATACTAGCAAATTTCTGACAGTTTCACTGCAAGATTTTACGCAAATTATGAAGCAAATAAGGCTAGATACAAATTTCTGCATGCTCTGAAATTGTAAAACTGCTGAATCGACAGGAAACTAAAACAATTGTCTTTTTAGAAGAAATGCCATCTTAATTCTAAAATTTTTGATATTTCTTAGTTCAAATTTCCTTTTATTGAAGTATTATTCTCAGTACGACCGGTACATTTATTTGAAAAAAGTATTGCATGCATGGTGGAATGGTACGAGCGATCATACACTTTTCTTGGGCCATTTGTACGCGTCAGGATGTAGCTTTAATTGCATGTCTCTTTTTTTCTTTCTGGTGGGTAGAGTGGCAGGGAAGGAGGGAAGAATGAGGTGTTTGGTTCTGCAGATGTAATCAGACGGGGACGTATTCCTATTAATTAAACAATGTCAATAACGATAACATCCTTCATAAAAAGAATTGTTACTCGCTCTTCTTTTAAAAGCATGTATGGAGGCCCTTGGTATGGAGGACGAAAGAATTCCAGATTCAGCTATAAGTGCTTCATCGTTTGTGAGCGAGGGTACACATCCCAGACTGGTTCGTCTAAACTCACTTTCTGCATGGGTTGCAGCCCACGGTGACACTAAGTCTTGGCTTCAAGTTGACCTCGGAAAGAACGCAATGATCAAGAAAATCGCCACCCAAGGGAAACGCGGTGCCTATCAGTGGGTAAAGACTTACACGCTTTCATCACGTGCCAATGGAGAGACTGATTGGTTGATGTATAAAGAAAACGAAGACGTGAAGGCGAGTCCCTTGCTTCGAATTTGATTTATCTTTAAAAATTAAGTATTTGAAAAGATACTTGCTGCCTAAAAGTTACATTTCTCCCTACTCCGAACCCGGAGAGAGCTCATGGAAAGTATCTTGCAGTTTTTGTTTAATTATCAGCACTTGTGTGAAGGAGCTTGAATTCTCATTTTCGCGTTATCTCTAAGTATAAAAAAATGGATGAATGAATTGAGGAATTAATCGGTTGATCTCTGAAAATCAATCAGTTAGATACATTTCCCTTCAATTATTTTGTTGTAACCTCCCGCTCCTCCTTCAAGGTTGGGTTTTTTTAAGAGCATGGTCCAATTCTCTCGTTATACACAGTCAAAATGGATTTAAATAGAAATGTTTCAATAATTCTGACGAAAACTGTACTGTGATTCTTATCAAATTTTATGACATTTTCAGGTATTTCAAGGTAACAATGATCAGGAAACGGTGGTATCCCATGTGTTGCCACAGCACATTAGGGCTCGTTTTGTCAGGTTCTGGCCCAAGACTTGGACCTATAAATACAGAGCCATGAGGGCAGAGCTGTACGGCTGTTTCCTTCAGTAACTGCTCCGGCCCCAATACGGTCAGAGAGGCAAATTTGTAACTTTCAAATGATCAGGAAATGAATTCAAGCAAGAAGTAGTTAAATCAGTAGTAAGCGATGAATCTGAGTAGTGAAAGCTGTGTCAAAAGACAATATTTATACCATAATGAATACCACTGCTATTAAAATATTTTAAAATCTGCACACCTATAGTTTATGGAAAAAATTAGAGTTCAGTAATCGTTTATAGAAAAAGTATTCATACTTTACTGGTGGAATTATGCATATAGGGGTTAACATGTTTTAAAATAATCAGCAGTAGTTATGCAATGTACCCAAGTTTGAGGCAAGAATAAGCATTCAAGCCGAGACCGCAACTTCTTGTGTGAGTACATGTGCATGATAAGCTATCATCATGACACATGGATTGGTGATTTTATTTGTCGCCTTATACTATTATGACGAGTGACATATGTAATCAAGAACAGCATATTTATCTAAAATGGCTGCACGTGGGTAAAACTCTGTATATGCAAGTGCATGTTTCACTATATCTTAAATATAACATCGAGAAGAAAACGTATACAGACCATCGTGCTAGTTTTTAGAAACGTGTCTCGGTAGTTTCCAAATGTTTTCTTATCATTCAAATGGCAAGTTACAACCCGCGACTATTTTGGTATCTGAATCATCTTTTTAGCCCGCCTGCTCCAACTGGGAAACAGTGGCACAATAGCACCACCAAAGAGGACAAATCAAAAGAAAAATACAAAAAAAAGAGTGTGAAAGAAGAGTTTCGCTCATCCTACGTCTCTCTCCTTTCCTCGTTGCTTCATTTCGCTTCGCTTCATTTTGTAACGTAAAAATGTGGAAAATGCGGTGTGCTAGTTATTTCGCTTGTTTACCAAGTCACTTTCAGATATATTTTATTCCGTACTTCATGACGAATGATTGTACATAGTGACTCAATCCAAAACAATAGTGACCGTTAGACTATCTAACTAAATGAAGGTGTTTGTGGCTGATTGATTATGAGTGACCGACTGGCCGACTACCTAATAGACTAAGTGAATGACTGACCCTGGGCTGATTGACTAACTTATATAACTACTGACTAGCTTGCTAATTGACTGACCTACTGAATAATGAATTGACTGGTAAGGTGACAAACTGCTTCACTGACTATCTGACTGATTGTCTGAATGACCTACTTATTTACCTCCTTACTGACTAACCTACTAAATGACTGACTAACTGACCAACTGACTGAGTAACTTACTGTCTTACTGATTCACTGATTTACCTACTAACCTACTCACTTATTTACTTGCTGATTGAATGGTTGACTGATTTACTGACTGACTGATTGCCTGACTGGCTGATCGACTGAATACGTGGCTGATTGACTAATCTACTGACTGGCTGGCTAATCAAATAACTGACTGTCTAATGAATTACCGTAAAGTAACAAACTAACTGACTGACTGACTAGCTCTTTGACCGTCTGACTGACTGATTGTTTGACTGTCTCACTGACTGACTGACTGACAACCTTACGGCTTACGCTAACTCACCAACTAACCCACTGTCTGAGCGACTTTAATACGAAATTTCATCGAAGAAAGCCCAAAATGAATTCTTATGGTCAGATGTCGATGCTATTAATAAACACAAAGTTGTGGCGTTTCAAGCATGCAAAGACAACGGCACCAACCGTCTGCAACCATCGAATCCTGTGATATTCAGCGGCCAGCGTCTCCATTGTAAAAGCATAAAATATCGTCGAAAGACGAAAACTTGTGAGTTGAATAAAAGGTGCGCGGTGATAGACTTTGAATTCCCCATATACATGCCGTGGCAAACGTTCTTCGAGTCCCTTGTTACCTTGACTTTGAATATGGACAGCCAGAGGAGATATACCACCTTGTGGAGAGCTGGGACAATTGTAAAGGTAACGATGATATTTTTCAAAACTATTCCCGAACTGTTTCCTGTTTTATCATGAGTGCGGAACAAGGGCATAATTACAATGGTCTTAAAAAAGTCCAATATCGCTGTAACTGTCTTCCCATGAAAATGTATTGAGATAGCCTAAAGTTAATCTTTCTGCACAGACGCTGATAGTTGTTAGTCATTTTTCCCAAAGGTTAGGACAAGGATGCTAGGTGTTAATTCGGATATCATTGAAGTAAACAAAGTTCTGACGTTCAAGCATGCAAGACAACGTGTTTAGGCCCCCATCGATACCCTTTCTTTCTTTTTTTTTTTTTCGTATGTGTGTTTGTGTGTTAAACTAGTTAAACCCTAAGCTAATAACCAGTTAAACCTGTCTCCTTCATCAAACTCTCCCGTTGTGCCATAATGTCTACCTCGGATGGTATTCAGGGTTGGCGTTAAGTTAGAGCATTTTCCTATCAGCAACTTTACGGAATGTGAAATAAAAATTAATCTAGTAATCTCCTTTATACAGCCATTTCCTACTCTCTGTTAGACCAGAATGCACACAAAACTTTACTTCAACGATTAAGTAGCAGAAAGAAAAAGAGTTTGGAGGGAGAAAACAAAACGGCTCACATTCAAAACAGGTCTTCAAGTTTAAGGCATCCATGCTTGAGTTGCAAGGCGAAAAACGCCTGCATTTCCTCTTGAAACCCATAACTTTGAGTAAAGTTTAATCGTTTGTTTAACATAAATTATTCACATCTTTCCCGAATTGTATTTTTCAGGATTTCAGTTCATGAAAGATTTTATGCCATGAAGTAAAGATTTACATGACCAAAAGAGGATGCTCCCTTGACAATACTATGCCTTTTTCACGCAAAACTGAAAAGCTTTTAAAGAAATCTACTTTAAAATACACTTTCTTCTTTGTTTCACTAAGAGAAAATGAGAGACTAATGACGATACCAAATGTTTTCATAAAAGTGTCCGGGGAACGCATTCCCCCTGGTGGGCAATTGGAGTTAGGGGCCTGCAATGTGGAAATTACGAAAAATGATCATAACAAAGGGTAGGTCGATTAACGGAACTTCTCCTCTTACACAGCTTGTTATGGGGTAAAATAAATCCATGTATATCTGGCTCTGAACGAATCTCGGTCCTCCCTCAAATTTAGTTCGTCTTGTAACTCAACCCCTATGGCCGTTAAAATTATTAAAGTTTCCCATAATTGTATGATTACACTTCGCTCAGTGGGACCTTATTTTCTTGCCTTACAACCTGCTGAGCCAGGACAAGCCAGGATAATCATTCTATCCTTTCAAACTATTGCATATTCTAAGATATGCAAACAGACTTAGAGCGACAAAATAATAACAGCGTGACTGAATAAAGTCAGAGCAACAAGCGAGGTTGGATCACACAGAAAATCTTGCACAAATACAGGAAAGTTCCATGATAAAAATAGGTTCAAAGTTATCTTTAAGTTTAGGATGTTTTTTACTGAAGTTTTATTTCTCTTCTCTTAATTTTGAGTGGAAGAAGGCTCAAACCATCATCCCCTTTGATGTAAAAAACAAAGTGTAATAAGCAGTATTCATTCTCCTGCTTTGTCAGCTGTGTTATTTTATGAATAATTATCGACTGGTCCTCAGTAGGATTCAATACAAAATGATGCTTTGTTTGTATTCTTTAATGAAAGACACCCTAAAGCGCTCTAGCTAAATTTAGTTTAATAACTGTCCCGAATAACTTCTTGACTTCTTCATCTGACCAGGAGATCCTTTGAACGATGATCACTTGCAAATAACATTGGAAAGGAAAAGATAGAGTTGAGGTAAAGCAAGGTTTCCCTTTATTAGACCTAATTTACAATTGCAAGTAATTGTGAGTCTTGACTTCAGAATCTGAAATTCCATGTAATCGTATATCTGATTAAGGGGTTGCATACAAATTCTTTTTTTCTTTTGGTAAAGGATGAAAAGATTGACGAGGATTGTTTAAACCTTAGCGTAGTTCACTTTAATTATGAATCCTATGAACAAAAATATGTTTGACCAGTTATGTAATGGACCAAGCCTTCTCGAAGTACCTCTTGAGTATTAGCGTGCGAAAATAAAATTTTATCAAAGAAAGAATAGTGAAAACAACAAGAAAACGAAAAACAAAATCATAAACCAACCACGTTTAGCAAATAGGTCTTGGAAGAACTTCTGCAGAAGATTTAAACTTGCGCAATTCTTAACAAACTTGAGGGAACAATACATTCAATAGGCGAAGTTTTCGACGAAGATTTTGAAATTTTCATCGGAGGCTTAAATACAACAAAAGAGAGTTTATTTCGGAATTTTGACCGATCTTTCTTTAGTCGCTTCACATTTATATCTAGAATTGACTTTGAAATGCTCAAAGAATCTTTTAATATCATTGCTCGGTATTCATTCCCACAAGTGATGCTTTTCTTTAGTATTGTTCTAACTCAGTTACCTCTAAAAACTTCAATTTTTTTTTTCATCTTTGCTTTTATCAACTTTCACGCGTAAAAGTACAGAATCTGTTCGCAGGGAAGTGTCTCGAATTTTCCATGCTATACTCCCCCTGCTAAGTGCAACACTAAAAGCTTCGACCGCGAAGACGTAAATTATCACCATAACAACATCTTTCCACAAACTTAATTGATTTTGACTCTCAGGACAACTTTGTTTCTTTAGCATTACAAAGGAGTTCAATGAAGATTCACAACAGTTTTTCAGGACAAAAATATTAATTAATTGTCAGATTAACTTCTTTTAAATCGTTTCATTCGCATGTTTTGACTTTAGGACAATGACTATTCTTCCAAAAGGCGTCATTGCAACTTTCTTTGTGATGATCTATTGGCAATTACGTGATACGTTATCTTCAGTCACGCAATGCCAAGACGCAACCTACTCCATTCCAAATCGCATTTTAAAGGGTCACACATTCACCACCAAGCCATCTGCAACTATGGAATCTTGCGTGATATTCTGCGGCGAGGGTCTCAATTGTAAAAGCATAAACTTTTACCGAAAGGCAAAGACTTGTGAGTTGAATAACATAA